CATAAAGAATCAAAAATCAAAAATTTTATGTGTCACACCATATGCTGTACCATCCTCGATGCGTATAGAGACGCTCTCTTAAGTGAACACATGCATCATTTTGTTCAGAAGAGTGTGAAGAGAAAATGCATACCCACACTCACACCCAAATTCACTCGAAAGTTTATTAATGCTAATAAAATACATTCAATTGATTTTCGTATTGGTGGTGTAGCTTCTATAACTGGTTCGTTTGCTCATGATCCTTTAAATACTAATAGAATTCTTGTAGAAAATAATATTCCATTAGTTGGTCTTGATGGTCTTAACATTGTTCATGTTGATGGAATTTCTGTTGATGGAGAAGAAGGGACTGCTCTTCGACTTTCAATTAACGCCACTATTGAAAATCCAGGTGTCACTGATGTTCAACTACAAAACTTTTCATTTTACATGGCCGAAGGAGAAACCGGTACAATTCTTGGTCAAATACCAATCAATGTTCTTGCTTTACAACCAGGAACCAATACAGTTACCCTTAATGGGTGAGTTAAATTTTGTTTTTTGTTCAAAATCTTTTCTTTATTATTATTATTATTATTATTTCAGTCTTCTTGCTCCATTGCATGAAACCGATCTTCCAGTAGTTGGCAAATTCTTTTCCGCCTATCTTAATGGTCAAACACAATTGGTAAAACTTTTCCATGATCGATCTTTTGAACAAAATGCAATTCCAATGGATTTAACAACAAGTGGTTTAACAATGAAAGCTAACCTTGAAGGAATTAAAGCAAATATAATTCGTCAAGTTGACGTTCTTAATTTTGGTATTGAATTTGATTCAATTGATGAAAGTAAAGTTTATGCAACAGGTCGATTATCAGTTTTATTTGCGTTACCATCTAACGTTCATATGACATTTAAAGCATTAACAACTAGTATTAATTTTACTATGCATTTTAATGATGGACCAAGTATGAGTCAAATGATTCTTCATGATTTACCTGTTGAACATAATCAAATAACAAATGAACTTTTAATGAGTTTTAATAAGCAAGAACTTATTGTTCTTAATGATGCATCTTTTGAAGAATTTGCTGCGAATCTTGTTCTAACAAGTAGTGTATCCGTTACAATTGAAGGTTTAGCTGCAGCACTTACGAATATTCGTATAGGAAATATTACTCTATCTGATATTCCAGTCCATGATACACTCCATCTTGTTGGTTATAATCAATTTAACAATGAACTTTTAAATATTGATAATATAGATCTAACTGGAGCATTATCATCTCATGAACTTGCTCTTCGTGTCAAAACAAAAATTATTAACCCTTCTGTTGTTAATATTATTAATGGTGGCCCTCTTTCACTTGATTTATGTGAAGTGTCAAGTGGTATTTCACTTGGTTCAGTTATTATTGATCCATTTTATCTTGAACCACAAGGCAGTAACACTATACTCAATGCAGAAGGTACTTTTCGCATAACTGATGAAAATTCTGCCGTCGCTCAACAATTTGTTTCACGTATGATTTCTGGTATAGATAATAATGTAGAATTACGTGGTAGATTACCAAATAATTCAGTCGGTACTTCCATTCCTCAACTCTCAATGGCGATTGCTGATTTACGTATTCATACACGAGTTCCTGGTCTTTATGGTGAGAGAGCACTTGTTCGAGAAATTCTTCTTAAAAAATTAAGTGCTGTACAAATGGCTGGTATTCCACTTGGTCTTGTCAAAACACTTTCTTCACGTATTCGGCTTAAAAATCCTTTTGGTACAGTTTTAACTATAACAGGTATGAACATAAGAGCTTATTTTGGTGCTGCAATTGATGAAAGTCAACAAGTGGGTACTGTCACTGATAATTCACGTATTACCATCGGTGCTTATGAAGAAATTGTAACATCTAATATAGATGTAAAGATTACGGCGAAATTATCAACAATGGTTTCTCTTTTGCCTCCTCTATTAGCTGGCACTAGTCGTTTATCTTTATCAGGTTTTATCAATGTTATTATTGGAAACCAAATTACTCTTAACCAACTTCCACTTACTTTACTTAATGTAGCTAGCATTCAAGATAGATCGATATAATCAACATTGGATAACACGATTATTGGTTTTTGTCTTTTATTTTGAAAAATAAAGTCAAATATAACTAATGATGATTGAGAGTATCACTATTCAAAAACAAGTTAGTATTAGTGCGGAACCAGTCTCCTCCATGTGCTGTATGCAGCGGGCATGTGAACAGTGAATGCTGTGTTCACAGAATGTGAAAGAGAGGCTTACAAGCGGATTACGAATGCCAATGTAAAGCTTCATAATGCTTAACATGATCACAGATGTCAATGCCACAAGTTGAGACCAACAATCGATCTGAGGAAACTCGATCTATTGACGAGTGAAGAGAATAGTCATTGTTCTGTTCGTGCCTCAAGAATAACCTTGAGATCAAACTAGATGTTTTTAACTTTTTTTAATAATTTTTTTGTTAGATGTCTCATAGCATTTTTCACTCTTCTGAAAAAATTTCAAATCTCTGAATTCTTATCGGAAAAGAATCACATCACATTCTTTATCAGTAGCGGCGCAAGAGTATTTTAATTAAATCTACATGCAGAAAGGAAGTTCTTTTTGATCTATTGCACATTGTTTGTCGTTAAGTCAAGTTTTTGTCTATGATCTTTCTCATAAGCTTGAAAAGCAAGTCGTCAAATGCACATACTTGTGTAACTCGTCCGAAGTACTGATGAAAATCCCTAAAAGTGATTGATAACGGATAGGGTATGGGCGTGGGTGTGGTGTGTGGATGCGGGTGTGTGTGGATGTGGGCAGGGTGTTTGGGTGTGAGTGCCTGTGGGGGTGGGTGAGTGTGGGTGTGGGTGGGGTGTGTAGATGTGGGTGTGGGTGGGGTGTGTGGGTGTGGGTGGGGTGTGTGGGTGTGGGTGGGGTGTGTGGGTGTGGGTGTATGTGGATGGGGTGTCTGAGTGTGGGTGTGGGTGTGTGCTGCTGTGGGGGTGGGTGAGTGTGAATTTTCATGTTATTTGCACCTACATCCACACACTCACACCCACATCCCACCCACACCCACACCCTTGTCCTCCGAATGACTCCTTTTTCACATGAGACAACTTCCGCACTGAGCTTGGTCGATGCAAAATGACACATTTTACTCAATGACCTGTTTTGTGAAACACGATCTGAAAGGAGTGTTGAAGTGTTTAGGGGTAGAAATTTGGACCCACTCCCCCCCCCCCCCCCCCCCCCCC